GATGCCTGTGTAGGGATGGGGAGGAATGGGAAGGGGGGGGTTGTCTGTCCTGTGTATCTCTCTTTCTGTCTGTCTGTCTGCTTGTCTCTCCCCCCCCCCCCCCTCTCTCTCTCTCTCTCTCTCTCTCTCTCTCTCTCTCTCTCTCTCTCTCTCTCTCTCTCTCTCTCTCTCTCTCTCTCTCTCTCTCTCTCTCTCTCTCTCTTTCAATTTCTGACTCTGTCACTCTTCTGTTCCTTGGCCTTCTCCCTCTCTCCCTCTCTCCTTCCCTCCCTTCTCCTCCTCCTTTCCCTTCTCCTCCTCCTTTCCCTTCTCCCTCCCTCCTCCCTCTCCCTCCCCCTAGGGCGTTCCGGCTGGGATGACGAATCTTTCGGGATCAGCCTCGCTATACATCCGGGGGGGGGGTGGAGGGGGGTTGGTGGGAGGGAGGTAGAAAGTGGGAGAGGGGGGAGGGGAGGGATTAGAAGGCGGAGGGAAGTGGAGGTGGAGGGAGAAGGGAGGAGATGGAGGGAGGGGGGGGAGGGGGGGGGTGGGAGGAGGGAAGTGGGAAGTAGAAAAAGGGAGAGGAGGGGGAGGGTGGAGTGAGAGGAAGGAGATGAAGAAGGGAGAAGGGTGGGAATGAGATGGGGAAGGGGGTTAGAGGGAGGAGTGAGGGCAAGAAGGAATAGATGTGGTAGAAGGGATAAGGGAGATGAAGGGAGGCTGCAGGAAGAAGGGAGAAGAAGAAGGGCGTAAAGCAGAGGCGAGGAGGTGTGTTGCAGACGGAGTGGGTGTTGTAGGGGGGGGGGTCAAGAACGAGGCCAGAGTGCATGTGCCTTATATAGAGTGGATGAAAGAAAGGGGGGGGAGAGAAGAGGGAGGAGGGAGGAGGGAGAGAGGGAGGGAAGAAGAGGGGAGGAGGGGGGATGGAGAGCGAGGGAAGAAAGAAGAGGAGGAGGGAGGAGGAGAGGGAGGGAGGAGGGGAAGAAGCGAGGAGGAAAGAAGGGAGGAGGGGATGGGGAAGAAGAGCGAGGGAGGGAGGACGGAAAGAGGGAGAAAGACTGGTATGATGATTGCATTTGTGGTGAGGAGGACAGAGAGACAGTCAGACGGACAGACAAACAGCCAAATAGACACAGACATAGATAGACACAGAAGAAGAATTGCCATGTAGCTCTGAAGAAAAAAAAACTAGAGAAAGAAACAAAAACAGAGAGACAGACAGGGACAGACAGTCAGATAGGTCGGGAGAATGTGGGAATGCAGCGGGCGGGGTGGCGAGGGCAAGGGAGGGGCGGGGGTGGGGGTGGAGGCAGGAGGTGTAACCGAAACCCTCCCCCTCCCCACACACCCCTCCTCCTCCTCCTCGTCCTCCTCCTTCTCCTCCTTATTATTATTGTTTTCTTCTTCTGTCTCTGTTTCTTTCTCCATTTTCTTCTCCTCCTGCTCTATCTCTTTCTTCCCCTTCTCATTCTTCTCCATCTCCATCTCCGTTTCCTTCTCCTTCTCTATCTTTATCTCCTCCTTCTCCTTCCCCTTCCCCTTCTCCTCTTCATTCTTCTCTTTCTCTCTCATCTTCCTCTTCTTCTTCCTTCCTCTTTTTATTTTCATTCTTCCCCCACCTTCTCTTCTTCGACTTTTGGGACATGTTGGAAATTCAATAACTGTTGCTGGCGAAAGGGAGAAGGGGAAGAATGAGATTAGAAGAGAGAAAAGCAAGAATAGAATGTGAAGGGAGGGAGGAAACGAAAGAACAGAAAGATGAAAGGAGGAAAAAGATGGATAGGAGGAGGAAGAAATGAATTGGGGCAGTGCAGATAGAAAGATAAGTAATATAGGTAAAGGAAGAACGAAAGGAGAGAGTGAATGAGTGAGTGAGTGGAAAGAGAAAGAGAAAGAATGAGAGTGAGAGTAAAAAAAGAGAAAATTGATATTTGGAAAGTTAAGAGAAAACAAAAGAGACAACGACGAAAATTAGTATAAAGAGAACAACAAAAGGAAAACAACAAAAGCAACAACGGAACACAAAGCGGCGAGCAAAACACGCTGACAACGTGTTTCATTTCAGCCTAGAATGCGAAGAGGTGTGAAACAGGGGGAGGGGAAGGGAAGGAGGTAGGAGGGAGGGGGAGATGGGGGTGAGGGAGGGGAGGGGAGGGAGAGGAGGAGGGAGGGAAGGAGGGAGAGAGGGAGATGGGGGGGGAGGAGGGAGGAGGGAGGGGAAGATGGGGGTAGGGATGGAGGGAGAGAGATGGGAGGAGGGAGGAGTGAGGGGAGTTGGGGTGACGTTAAGGAGTTGAATGGTTGGTGATAGTGGATAAATGGGGAGAGGGGGGTAGAGACTGTGGTAGGGAGTTGGGGAATGGGGAAGGCAATGGGTAGGAGTGGGAGTAGGGACGTGGTAGAGAGGCAGAGGGTATGTGGAAGTGGGTGGGGCGAGTGGGCGTCACAAAGGGGTTGGGTGGGGAGTAGAGGGTAGTGGGTAAATGGGGGGGGGGGCGGTAGTCATGAGGTTGGGTTTAGGGAAGTGGGGTACGAGGGAGGAAGGGAGGAAAAGAGGAGAGAGAGAAAAGAGAGAGGAGAGAAGGGGAGGAAGAGAGAGAAAGAGGAGAGGAGGGAGGAAGATAGGGAAAGGGGAGGAAGAGAGGAAAAAGAGGAGAGGTGAGGAGGAGAGAGGAAGGAAGATAAGGAAAGGGGAGGAAGAGAGGAAAAGAGGAGAGGGTGAGAGAGAGGGAGGAGGAAGATAGGGGGAGGGGAGGAGAGAGAGAAAGAGGAGAGGGTGAGGAGAGAGGAGGGAGGAAGATAGGGGAAAGGGGGGAAGAGAGGAAAAGAGGAGAGGAGGGAGGGAGGGAGAGGGGAGAGAAGGGGAGGGAGATGGTCTGTGGTTTGTGGGCAAATCGTGTGGTTAATTCCATGGTTAATATTTGTCCTTTTTTTTAAATGTCTTTGGGTGTTCCTGTGACTTTTTTTCTTTATTATTTTTATTTTCTTCTTTACTGTTATCTGTGTTATTGTTCGTGTTCGTTATTCATTCTTTCTTGTTCTCGTTGTTATTGTTAGCGTTATAATTTTGTCCTTGTCCTTATTGTTATTCTTATATTATACTTATTATCCCTATTGTTATTGTTATTCTTATATTATCATTTTTTTCTTCCTACTTTGTCCTTATTTACATTTATTCATTTATTTATCTCTTGGCTGCGTCAGATGGTGTGATGTTGATCAGGAGGCGCTCATAATGTTGGTCCTAGATGAGTGTCTGTCTGTGTCTGCCTCTGTGTCTGTGTGCTTGCGTTGGCGCCGTTGTGTCTGTCTCGATGCATTTGTCTATGTCTGTGTTCATGTCTCGGTGTCTGTGTTTATGTGTCTGAGTCTGTCTCTGTGTCTGTGTATATGTGCTTGTGTCTGCGTCTTGTGTGTCTGTCTCGGTGTCTCGGTGCCTGTGTCTGTCTGTCTCGGTGTCTGTGTGTCTGTCTCGGTGTCTGTGTCTGTGTGTCTGTCTGTGTCTGTGTCTGTCTGTCTCGGTGTCGTGTCTGTCTCGGTGTCTGTGTCTGTGTCTGTCTGTGTCTGTCTCGGTGTCTGTGTGTCTGTCTCGGTGTCTGTGTGTCTGCGTCTGTGCCTCTGTTCTTAGACGATGAAGAGAAACCTTTATCAGGTCCGGAGAGGGAAGAGCCACGGAATCCGGATGGTTCCGGCCAGGGCGGCTCTGATATCGGAAATAAATCGGCCCGGAACCGAATTACCCTTCACGGAAGAGAAGGATAAGACAGAGGGCGATAAAGAAGATCAAATAAAGATGGAGGGAGAGGGAAGAGTAGCCGTAAATAGACGAAGGGGAAAATGCGCATCGCAGCTTTATTCCTCGTAGAGCTTTTGGCTCACCTTAAAGGGGAAGGTCACGCTCTCTCGCTCTCGCTCTCTCTCGCTCTCTCTCTCTCTCTCGCTCGCTCTCGCTTCTCTCGCTCTCTCGCTCTCTCGGTCTCTCGCTCTCGCTCTCTCTCTCTCTCTCTCGCTCTCTCTCTCGCTCTCTCTCCTCTCTCTCGCTCTCTCTCTCGCTCTCTCTCTCTCTCGCTCTCTTCTCTTCTCTCTTCGCTCTCTCTCTCGCTCTCTCTCGCTCTCTCTTCTCTCTCTCTCTCTCTCTCTCGCTCTCTCTCTCCTCTCTCGCTCTCTCTCTCGCTCTCTCTTCGCTCTCTCTCTCGCTCTCTCTCTCTCGCTCTCTCGCTCTCTCTCTCTCGCTCTCTCTCTCTCGCTCTCTCTCTCTCTCTCTCTCGCTCTCTCTCTCTCGCTCTCTCTACTCTCTCGCTCGCTCTCTCGCTCTCGCTCTCTGCCTCTCTCTCTCGCTCTCTCGCTCTCTCTTCTCTCGCTCTCTCCGCTCTCTCTCTCGCTCTCGCTCTCCTCGCTCTCTCTCGCTCTTCTCTCTCTCTCGCTCTCTCTCTCTCTCTCTCTCTCTCTCGCTCTCTCGCCTCTCTCTCTCTCGCTTCTCTCGCTCTCGCTCTCGCTCTCTCTCCGCCTCTCTCTCTCTCGCTCTCTCTCTCTCTCTCTCTCTCTCGCTCTCTCTCGCTCTCTCTCTCGCTCTCTCTCTCTCTCGCTCTCTCTCTCTCTCTCTCGCTCTCTCTCGCTCTTCGCTCTCTCTCTCGCTCTTCTCTCGCTCTCTCTCTCGCTCTCTCTCTCGCTCTTCCCTCTCGCTCTCTCTCGCTCTCTCTCTCTCTCTCTCTCTCTCTCTCTCTCTCGCTCTCTCTCTCGCTCTCCTCTCTCTCTTCTCTCTCGCTCTCGCTCTCTCTCTCTCTCGCTCTCTCTCTCGCTCTCGCTCTCTCTCTCGCTCTCTCTCTCTCTCATCGTCGATCTCTCTCGCTCTTCTTCTCTCTTCTCTCTCTCTCTCTCTCTCTCTCGCTCTCATCTCTCGCCGCTCCTCTCTCCNTTGTAAATAGTCATATCATGGTATATAAATAACCATTAATGTGTTCTGTTTCAAGATTCTTACTGTAGAAAATAAATTATTACTCTGACCCTTTGATGGCAACCAATCCTTAAGCTTTTGTTTAAGAAATTAGGTAATTTACTGGAATAAAGTTTATGACAACAAGTCTACCACTCATTAATGAGATTACCCCTCTAGAAAAAAAGAGGAAAAAAAAATATACATAATATCTACTTACCCGGTTTCTATCCTGTTTCATCATCTCTTCTACATTAAGTCTTTCTATCTCAAACATTACAGGAGCAAACAGGAGGATTGATGTGCTCACTGCTATCCACACAACCTGTCGGCTTAGGTCATAAGCACCTGCAGAGAAAAGGAAAAATGCATAATTATACACATATCATAAAGTACAGATGTCTTTTTTTTTCCTTTGCCATCCATCATGCTATCAAGCAAAAAGAAACACAGCCACAGTAAGAAAACACATAAAACAAGAATTCCACTGTTAAGACACCAAAAATTTTTCTCCTTTTGGATTTATTCTTAACGTGGAGATGCCAGGAGGCCATATACCTACACCAATTTTAGTTTATCAATTTTGTTTGTTTGTGATGGTATTAGTCATCGAGGAATCAATTACAAGGCCTGCCAGATCTCCTATTTACCTCTTTCTTTGATTTGGTTTTAGTGCAATTAGTATTGTTAATAACATGATAGTCATACTGCCAATATACACACTAATTCTGAAACAGTAACATCAGAAAATAATTTCTTATAAAAAATTCAAGGAATGGAGTAATCATATTATACCAACTACCTGGTGACAGCACTTGTGGGGACATCTATGCATGAACAATATTTACAAAACATTTATGTACCTACATTAACCCAAGGGATCTGGGTGGGGTGACTGCATATTCCATGTGACACGAATATGCAGTCACGGAAACTTTTGGCTGAGGGCCCGGGTGATTGGAATGACTTATCATGAGTGCACTTGGAGTAAGATTCGACTCAGTGGGCATTTAGGGAGGGACTCTTGCATTTTTCCACCACTAAATGAGGGTGGAATATACTATCCATGACCCATGGCTATAAATGCCCTGGCTAGAAGGAAGAAACTACTTCCATGCTCAGGATCCTATTCCTACCCACTGTGACAGGCAGTCCAGGGTGCATTACAGAAATAATAATAAACAAAAAATTACACAACTAGCACAATTTTACTTATTGTTATAGGACATAGTTGCTGACTACCAAGAGAGATGATATGGAGTCTGCTCAATGAAATAAACTATTCCCATCTTGATAAAGCAAAACAAATGACAATTATAAATAATGGAAAACAGCAAAGTAAAAAAGAGAGAATAACATTATAATGGGAAGGCAAGGAGTCTGGATGCTGCACAGGAGTGTCTGTGTATACCAGGCCTATAAGCAACAAACCCGTGAGAGTTGCCCTTCAAGATAGCCTTGTGCCTCGATTTTGGTCCTGTGGACTGCGAGGCACCTGGAACGAAAGGATTAAGGACCCTATCCTACTGCAAGCTGGATAAGTCTTTGGCCTATCAACACAATATAACTTACATTAGATTGATTTTCTTCTATATGAGTGGCTACTATTATTCACAGACTGATGGAAAGCACCTATTTCTGAATCTCACATTATTTGTCTAAATATATGTATAATTAATCAATTATATCCTACTGTTCTTTCATCAGTTGCCTTTGGCAAGGGAGGTATTTGCAAGAGCCCCAGAACACAAATACATAATTAAAAAAAAAGAAGGAAAAAAATTGTCCAAAAGTAGAGTTAGTGAAAGATGTTTATGACTCCTTGGCAGTTGAGGAAATGATGAAATGCCTAAGTAAATGGATGCAAAATCCAAAAGAACCAACACACTTGAAAATCTGGAGGACCTAACTAATACATAGAAAAATAACTGGACGACTTTATCATCATTTAAGCAGTTACAAACTACAACTATGTTTAGTAAATAAATTGCAACATAACTAATCACTTCAATCACCTAGAGAATAATACAGAAACCAATCTGATGCCAAAATATAACCATTTCTTTTCTTTCTTTTTTTTTCTGAAAATGCTTACACAGAATTTTCCTATTATTTCACAGAGTTAGCTATTCCCTATTATTTCACAGAGTAAGCTATTCCCTATTACTTCACAGAGTTAGCTATTCTCTATTACTTCACAGAGTTAGCTAATCTACTGAAAATGTACAGGCAAATTCGTTATTTTCTTCCATTTCTAGCACTAGTTCATATTAAAGATTATGAAATTCTATTTTACCTTTATTTCAACAAAATGTGTACATCCGCTTTTGATCAGATTTTATCTAACTGCAATAGCATTCACTGTCAAGCATTTCAAGGGCTTACTACTAAATTCACAAGATTTTCAATCTCATCCTTCATGGGTATTGCAGTCTACTTCAACCTACTGGCAATGGGAGGAAGTGTATACATGCCACGTTAACTGTGATTTTAATCTATGATTAATTTTGTTTTGCATATAGATGGCTCTTGAAGTACTTAGTCAATTATCTACACAATATCACCGTGAAAATGCAGTATTATTTAGTGGAGTGTCTAAATTACATAGCTCCACAAGTGCTCAATCACCAAGGAGTCAATTGGTAGACCTCATGACCTCACCTGATTTAACCTTTCCTTGAGTCTTCAAGAAGAAATGTTATCTTTACTAAAGCTATCAATACCGATGATGATATTATTGTTATACACATTATAACTACTATGATAATATATGATAAAAGAAAATAATTCCCCAAAATCAAGGAAATGGGTAAAAAAGTGCGAAAGGTAGCGCTAGCAATCAACTCACTGATGAATATTTTCCAAACATACTTGTAGAACCATCTATGTGTCAAGGTAATTATTAAAATAAACTCACAGTGGGCATGGAACATACTTTATGCCACTCCCAGCAGCATTAGGTTTAGCCAATCTAGTGTCACTTCAATAACACATTCCCTGAATTTTCAGAAAAAAATCACTGTTGCCATAAGGGTTGTATGTGTATATATTTATCTATTTTTCTCCTCTTTTTTGGGTGTCTTGTGATTGCTTTACATGAAGCCCAGATAGTATACTCTAAAAATGTACAGTAAACAAAAGTTTGCAAAGGCCTAGTTTGAAAAAGAATCTATGCACAATAGAAATTTGCAAAGTAGATGTTACTGTAATTAATTACAAAGGTTATATGGTCGACAGTTAGCCCTATACACATATTCCCCATCCCCAATATTTTCTCCCTCCATTTTGCAGTTACTCTTCACACACATTTTTGGCTAAAAGATGTGTGATAAGTAAGAAAAAATAATCAAAAACAAATTTGACAAGAGCTGATTAGGCCAACAGTGCACAAACCCGCTCTAATCTGTACTAAACAACGCGAAGGAAGGGTGTGAATCTTCATAATTATTATCATTATTTTTTTTTTTCTTTCTTTCTTTTTACAATGATGAGTAAGCCAAACATGCAAAGAAACAACAAGTTTAAGGTAGAATTGCAAAGTAAAGGTGTGAGTTAGCAGAACACCTATGCCTCTAATCTCTACATCATTTGGTACTGCAACAATTTACAAATCTAAATAAGCCTCTCCTATCACACAAACACTTGCATTCCTATACACTTTTTGTTCAGTGGAAATGTTGGGCAGCAGGGCTCAATAGATATGGGAGTAAATTAAAATTACAGTAGTATACATGGGTTCATTAGCATGTACAGTATAACGATAAAAGCTACATTCCCAATTCAAACTGGCATGGAAGATACCTAGTTCACAACCATCGAGTATTTCTTAATTATAACATTTTCAGTGGATCCTACAAACTAGGCAGGTTCCTTGCTATGAAATGACAACATGGCTAGCATATTATACCTAGGCTATTAAACATTTTGCTTAAAAGAATTTCCCATAGAATTAGAGGCCTATGATAGATTCTTGATTCTTATACACAGTCAAAAACAATGACAAAAAGTCATAGGGGATATTTCAGAGATTGCCTTCTCCATTCAGCTTCATTAAAAAAAATAATGTGAACAAAAATCAAGACCAGTAAACACTGTTCAATAAAAACAAAATTAGAATACCGAAGAAAAAAAAAAGTTACAACTCAATTCTTTCCAAAAAATGTTTACAATATGGAAAATTGTTACAAAAATGCCCTAGTGCTGAAAGTAAAGAAATGAGTACAAAATAACTATTCATCAACTAGCATTCTGCTATGTCAAATAAAAATATTTACTTGAAATCCCTCACTCCCTAAAAACATTTTTCCCCTTATAAATTAAATAATATTCTTTAAAAATCAAATGAAAATTGATCTCCTTTCTGTACAGATCCAGAGGCTCCATACCCAACACCCTATTTCCTATCTCATATCCTCAGCTTTTAACTCTTGGGAGAATATGGCCACCTACAAGATGATAATTACTGGTTATTTAATTCTGAAATATGAAATATCTCAATTACAGTGCTTCAATATTACACTAAGATTTTTTTTCTCTCACTTCTAATCAAACAAAGTACAATAAGTCTATGGCAGAGACCATACCTTCTATGCTCAAGATTCATCTGCACCTGAATGTGTCTATGCTCTTCCTATGCCATACTGTTACTAGGTGTTTACATCTGATCTATCCAGTGAATTTGTCACAATATAAATCCCTTGTTAACCCCAAGTCACTAACCACAACCTCTGATGTACCTAACTATGATTTGCTAGGGAGGGAACTCATGCGAGATTCACGTTAACAAGGTTCTGAAGGTATGTCAGCAAAATGACATTTACACTCGGCAATCACATCCTTATGGCAAAGAAGGTCACCTCTGCAGGTAACTGAAAGATTGGTCAAATGACTGCTAAAGCTGGAGAAGGAAGTAACGAGGATCCGAGTAGGATTCATCACTATAACAAGGTTCTGACTGGTTTACAATTGTCAGTTTGATTACTAATCCTCAACTAGTGCACTTGAGCTTCTCATTTCTCTCTCCCATTTCATCACTTCATTTTAATTACACATATGTATGTTACATAATACAAGAAAAATATACTTGGCTTGTCAGTAGCAACAGCTGATCAATAAGTGAATTAAAAGGAACAATATGTATCTTAGAGAAAAAAAAAATTTCAGTCTGACTACTATTTTGCTTTTTTTCTTTACATAAACATATATTTTACTCTTCCTTATAATTCAAAGAGAGAGAGAGAAAAAAAAAAAAAATAGAATGTAAATACTCAACTTACCTTTCACTAATCTGACAGAGGATGAAACTGCATTGGCGCTGCCCGTGCGGAGACGTTCTGGGAACATTTCTGTGAGGCCCCATACTCTTTCAGCAAAGCTTTCGTCAAATTCCTGGAAAACAGACCATTGCTAAAGTGAACTATATCTTAACCCTTTCACCAAACAAAACTGTATCTAATATCATGGTTCACTTAGTTAACCTATTCCTGAGAAATACTATTGGGTAGCAATGTCAGTTGCATAGTTTATAAATAGCAAAGTTGTTAGTGATTCAATATAACAAAATGTTTTGATGAATTCATTTCCTGTAAATCATTCAGAAGACATAGTTACAGACAATATTGTAGTAAGACTAAAATTCATATCTGTAGGTCACCGTCACCCTTTTCATGTACTACAACATTTTTTCCAAAATATCTGTAACAGATCTAGTAAATAATTCATTTCACAAATGGGAAAGCCTGTAAATGTTAAAAATGTGCCCTTTTATGTACAAACATGTGCTTCTCTCAACTATAATTAAATTTGCACATCAAAATGAATGGCATCTTTGGAATTTGTGGTTTAATATCTAGGACATAAGGACACTGAAAACATCACATGTCTAAATATAAGATGCCTATTCAATATTGAAGCACATTAAGATCAGATTCATTCAAAAATAAAAGAGGTCAAACTTGAATTAATAAAGTTTCATGGCATAGGGCCACCTGCTTTTCTTGAATTTTCATTTGATACACGTTCACTTCTTTATTAATAAAAGTACTTGTTTCTCGTCATTTTGTTCTTTCTCATATAAAAAAACACCAAAATTTTCACAATTTATATAAAACTTTCAAAAAAACAAAAAAAAATCAGGTAAGGTAGACTAAAAGGTGTTACTCTTGAGAGAACCATTCTAGATGAGTTTTTTTTACACATATCCATCAAAATTATAATAATTCAGAGTGGGTACTTGGTATAGTACAGAGGCAGGTAAAGTGAAAAAATATTAGTTATTTGCAAAAAACAAGTTGTGATACTGGTTCTGTAGTTAATCACATATGTATTACCAAACTGCAGTTTGTAGGAGGTTTATCAACATCATTAGATGCCTTAATTGTTCCAAACAATTATTTATACTTCAGTCTCTATCAAGTGTGCATCTTGTACTTTCCCATAATTAAAGATTAAAATGTAAAATTCAAAATTGAAAAATGCTGCTACTGACCAAAGAGAATATATTTAAAACTCTGCAAACCTATGCTTCTATAGCATCCAGTTTCCACCCTACCAACAAAATTACAAAAAAAAAATTCATCTGGCAAGATAAAGAGTTGGCTGACTTCCATTCTTACTTCCCCTCGGAAAAGGGATCAGTCCAAGCTCTCCTAAATATACAATGGCAAGGTTTAATTGCTTTTGCTTGTGTCAGCATGAAAACTATAGTATCACCTCAATGGGTCTCATTCTGAACAGCTCCAAAACCATTACCTAATTCAGTGGTTTTTACCCATTTACGATGGGTGTCCCACATATGGGATGCCCAGAAAAAAAAAATTGCCAGGGAACCCGCCAGTGTGACACTGTATCGGGGCTCACGCTCCAACTCAGCAGCATCCCACGGTTGGCGTACAAGGAGAGTCCAGGCCAGCCCTGTGCGCCAAATTTTGTAGCTGCCCAGAAACTTTTATTTTCGGCCTCAGAATATACCGGTGTGAGTGGATTAAGGGGGCCGTCATGTTGAATTTATTATCACAATCACAGCTGCAGCAGCAGTTTTGTAGTGTGAAATGCCCCATGAGGCACTGAAAAGGCATTATAAAACCTGTGATGACAAGACTGTATTTCAAAAACCATGTGAGGTTAGTTTGTGACAGGTGTGATAAAACCCTCTGTGACACTCCTCCCATTATCCATGAAAATATGACTGTATCTAATATAATCCAGATCTATCAGTCTTATTACAGGTGTGGGAAGTGCTGGATTAAAAAACAGTCCCCCATATTTCTCGAGTGGCAGTCTCTCTGCTGGTGCTTACATAAAGCACTGCTCTTACCTGTACAGAGAGATGGGGAAGTGGTTTAGCACAGTAGAGAAAGTGAGGCTTTTTTATCTAGACAAAGGTTTATTACAGCAAGATGCCAATGGTAACATCTGCATCGATTCTTTCAACGGGTCGTGGATGACCAGAGGCCACAGGTCACACATCAGCATCGGGCTTATGATAGATGTGCATACAGGGACTGTTCTAGACCTAGAGGTCCTTTGCAATCATTGCCCTAATTATAAGGCGGGGAGCAGTAAAGCACCCAGCAAACATGTCTGCCATAAAAACTTTGAAGGTAAGTTGGGTGCAATGGAGGGAGAGGCAGCATTGCAAATCTGGTCCCGATCCTTAGACCTCAAAATTATATACAAAACCTTCGTAGGTGACGGGGACTTGAGTGCATACAAAGCAGTATGCCAGCTAAACAACGGCAAAGGACCGTACAAAGACCCCGTTATCAAGGAGTGCATAAATCATGTAAGCAAAAGATGAGGATCAGACTGCGCAATGTCAAGAAGGATGTAAGTGAAACAGTCACAACCAAAACTGGCAAGAGAATGAGGAGGAGCTTGTTAGGAGGTGCCCACATGTTGACGGATAAGGTCATTGATCTTCTCGGGTCATATTATGGGAAAGCAATCCGTGACAATGTGGGCACTGACTATGAGACTATGAGAAAGTCTGTGTGGGCAATGTTCTTCCACCTGACGTCAAGTGATGACAAGCCAGCACATCACTTTTGCCCACGTGGTGTAGACAGCTGGTGCTTTTTCAATAGAGTACTAGCTGAAAACATCACACCTATTAGCCACCAAAGGAAATCCCTTTACCTAGGTAAAATCCCTTTTGGAAATCTGGACCCCATCAAATCTGTCTACCGAGATCTCTCTACCCCGAAGATGTCTGAAGGGGGCAAAACAAAATCCCAATGAAAGTCCTCATTCAAAGATTTGGCTAAAGTGCTCAAAGGCCAAGTATGCCAGTTGCTTCCGAGTGCTATTCGTCACAAGGGCGACAGTACTAGATCATAACTTCTGTAGGAAAAGCCATCTTCTTGTGTATTTGCTTGGTACCAATGACATCATTTCAAAAGCACTTGAAAAGCAAGACCAGGAGACACATCGAAAAGGGACAGCAAAGAAGAAAAAGGGAAAGAAAAAGCTGACCTGGAGCTCCGACTATCTGCTGGGGGCTTTCTAGGGAGCTAACCTAGCTACAATGAGGGAGGTGGTGTCTCTTGATACCCTTGCCTTTGAGCGATTAATACCTTGCAAAAGGCGGGAACAGGTACCAGCCACAACTTAGAATACCATTTGAATGCCATAGAATGCATCAAAATTGATGCATGGTTCCAAATTTCTAAAAAATAAAAATAAAATAAAAATAAAAATGCAGGAAAAAGTAATTTACCAGGGAAATGTTGAGTTTTCATTTGATGTAGCAAAATTGGGGCTCCAGGGGGTAGAGCCCTCTGACTAAGCAGCTAGGTTGAGTTATTTGTTGAGACATATTGTATGAAGACCATGCAGGTCCAGGGGCTTTGGATGGTGTGCATTCCTGTAGAATGCTTGGTAAGATGCCTGTAAAGTTTTTCAAAAGTTGACACACTGGTTTCAAAGAGCACAGACTAATTTTTTTTGTGTTGCTTTTACACACTTTTGTTCTATATTTTTTCTGCCTCAGCCGGTTTTACCCAATAACATCTTTGGTATATTTCCCTGCTATAGAGACTATCATGCTGAGAATGACGGCTCTGATTGCAACAGGAGTTATCATCAGATTTCTTCTCATCATACCAGAATAAAAATGATCATATATATATATATATTGTTTATATATATAATGTCTGGGAAGGACCAATTGTTAAAACAGTAATTCTTTACAATACCTTTGATAAATGATCACAATGATTTTGTTATCAATGGATTCCTCACCCTCTAGTATATGTATGTAAAGGAATTAAGCTACAGAACCCCCAAAACACCATATTCTTGGTCCCCACAGTAGGGGAGGGCATGAAAGATGCAGAGTAAAATATTAACAATAAACACACTATCAGTCATTATATTGTATAATGCTGGGGGCTATGCCCCCTGCAATCCCACCATGGGGGGTGACTGCTCTCTAACCCCCGCTCAGGAAAACAAAGAATTCTCCTCATCGGGCGTATGCTCTACCCTGGTGTGAATACATGATTTTTTTGTCTTCCATTGCAGGAGTTGGGGGCAGCAGAGTGAGAATAATTCACTGATACCAATATTGTCACAATCAGGTATTATGAAAAATTACTATTATAACTGAAAAATTTACTGCTTTCGTTTTTGTTACCAAGAGCAACACACTCTCAATCGACAAAGTCCTAAACCCAGGGTATCATGCAAACACAAAAATCCAAACCTAACATTTCCAACCTTCTACTTATTCCTTAGACAAGGGAGCAAGCCCCTATACCCCTCTTTATTGGCTCTTTGTCCCAACTTATAAAAAACATAACATTAGGAACTCTGGCTGTGAGGGTGTTGTCTCTGAGTTGGGATGTGCAGCAGATATTTTCATCATTTCATGATAAATATAAAGCTGCAGCAGTTGTACCTGTGTTGTTTTAGGCCCGTACTTTTAAAACCTTTCGCCCATGCTGGCGTTTGCCTGGCGATCCTGTACCAGGCAATCATCTGAGTGAGGGAGGCCTTACTTTAACACCCAATGTTCACCAAGGCGGGCAATCGACAGGCCTGGTGAATGAAAGGGATCATGAGGCCCTAACATCTTGTATTCCTCCTAAATCTAGTGCTTCGGCGACTGAAAAAACATGGTAAACGCAAATGTGTTTACATCTGCAGTGCACAGCATCACCATGGCAATCAGCATCAAAGTTTGTCAGTCCTCTCCTATATCCATTTTGGATAAAAAAAAAAGTCCTTCGGGACCTCATAAAGAACCATATAGAGGCTGTGTTAATTCCTAACCAAACCCTACCTTACCTTACCTTACCTAACATAACCTAAACTTAATTATTAACCTCGGGACAAGATGAAAGTGTTATCTCTGTAATAGTCTCACCTTATACTATAAAAAAGTAGTTAAAAATTAACTTTACACTATAACAAAGTTAACTTTATACTTTATACTATAACAAAGTTAACTTTATGCTATATACTATACTATAGCAACTTTATACAAAAATTAACTTATTACTTTAACAAGGGAGTTAAAAATTAACCAATTTACGATACTAAACTGATATAAAATATTGAACTGTAGGCCTGCAAGGGTATCATTAGACATGCCTCATTGGAGAGCAGTGGAGCATAACAGCTATGTTTTTATAGCCCATAGTAAACATACCATCAGGAATAGCGCTGCCGCCCCATACATATATACGTTATTTCATAATAAATTGTAATTTTCAGAGATTATAAAATTACAATGTAATATTCATCAAAACACAGAAGCTGCAGGAATATACCATTAGGAATAGCGCTGCCGCCCCGTACATATATACGTTATTTCATAATAAATTGTAATTTTCAGAGATTATAAAATTACAATGTGATTCCATTATCATATTATACACATATATGTTACTGATTTGTAATCTGAAAGCAAGAAAGTGCTATTCAATCACGGGAAAGGGAGGGCTCACGTGACTTTGATTCGTCTTGCTGTTCCAATACGACTGTACACCAGCCCTGGTGTAATTCCCGATCGCCTGTGTCACAACTGCGAGATCGCCTTGATCGGTCGCCATCAGTTTCCTGAGCCGCTACACTGCAGTCTTGAGTTTCATCACTTAGGATCTTCGGCAATGTTTACCGAAGCCGGAGAGGGGCCTTAGGCGGGATGAGGTCACCCGCGATTGGTCAGTTCAACTTGTGAGGAACAAGGGTGTCATGCCTTAACACTGATGACTCCAGATAAAAGGCGCATAAAAGGTGCGACTCTCAAAAAATTGTGAGTTCTGGAAAGACTTCAGTGCTCCTGTGACATCACCTGCTCCACTTCTCCCGTGCCTGTAATTCTCCTGCCTCCTCTATGTGCTGTATATTGTGTAAATAGTGACTCTCAATATATTCCTCCCTTATGTTTCCTCTGGTGTTTCACTGTTAACCTGGCCGATCTGATCACCCCCTCACAAGACAAACCCCGACAGCCCAGCGAAATTGAATGCCACCCCTGGTGAAAGGTTTTAAATGTACGGGCCTAAGACTCTTCTTACGTTCTATAAGATGGCAGTATCCATTTCCCTGTATTTCTGTGCGTCACTCTCAATAACATTAACCACATTTTTTTTGTTCATACAGCAATGTTTGTGGATTCCCAGGAGTGCCCTGACAGTTATTTACTGGAGTCATAGGGACTTAGCCTCAGAGGGATATGGTCACTCCACAAACAATTACCTACAAGGCAAGTTTATGGTCACAGGGTGTCGTCTATGGCTTCTGGCACCCAGACAGCATCCTAGTCAGGAAACCAGAGAGCGAGGCATTATAACTGTGTATACAAGATCAAAATATAAAAATATGGAATAGTCATCGAAAATAACTAATTATCACCCACTATCGGTTTAAAAAGGGTAAGAACCACAAAACAACATCCTATGTCAACAAACAAAAACAGTGCCTATACGAATGAGCTACGTAACGCTGGCGAGCTTCCATTACCGAAAAAAAACAATTCTACCTCCCACAAAATTAAACCCGAAACATTCCCAGCTCTTCATCTCCTCCTCCTCGAGCAACTCACCTCGTCCTCTTCCTCGTCCTCGTCTTCGTCCAAAGGAAGCGTGGACACCTTCTTCTCCTCAGCAGACGACACCTGAGCCGCCGCAGCTTCCACCGCTTTTCCGACGGCTTTTGCAGTCTCCTCCGCCGTCGTCTGGCTCTCTGGTGTTGCCTCGCTGCTTGCAACACCGCTGTCTAGGTCTGCGAGTTCTGTTAACGTGGCCATGGCTCCTTCAGTCGGTGTGGTTTGGCTTCGGCGTTACGAAAAGTCCTGCCAGTCGAGTGTCTGAGTCGCTCCAGCACCAAGCGCCGTCGTCTAAAGCAGGGTTGTGTAAAGGATAAAATGCGACATATAATTCTGCTTAAATTTTATATTCATAAAACATTCTGAACTTCTTATTTGTATTCAAATTTATGATTTTATATGCTATGTTCATATGATGTCATGAAAATAATAATCATGATGTTTTCAAATTAATCACTATTACCATCCGTACTTAGAGCAAGGTTCTGAATACGGGATAATACTACAAGAAAAGGCTAATCTACAGGAGAGACTCGTGTTATAATCTTATAATCATATTTATAGATTATCAACAATAATAGTAATGGTAGTGATGACAATGGTGATAAAATAATAATGATGATAAAAGTAGTAGTAATAATGCTGATAATAATAATAATAATAATAACAGCAACAACGAGAACAACAATAATAATAATGATAATAATAATAATAATAATAATAATAATAATAATAATAATAATAATAATAATAATAATAATAATAATAATAATAATAATGATAATGCTGTTGTTACGATCAGTATTATTATTATTATTATTATTATTATTATTATTATTATTATTGTTGTTGTTGTTGTTGTTGTTGTTGTTGTTATTATTATTATTATCATTATTATTATTACTATTATTATTATTATTATTATTATCCTTATTATTATTATTATTATTATTATTTATTATTATTTAATTATTATTATTATTATTATTATTATTATTATTATTATTATTATTATTATTATTATTGTCATTATTATTATATATTATCAATCATCATCATCATCATCATCATCATCATCATCATCATCATCATCATCATCATCATCATCATCATCATCATCATCATTATCATTATCATTATCATTATCATTATTATCATTATTATTATTATTATCATTATTAACATAATTATCATTATTATTATCATTATTATATTTATTATTATTATATTATCATTATTATTATTATTAATATCATTATTATTATTATTATTATGATTACTATTATTAGCATTAGCATTAGCATTATACTCAATAAGATAATGGTAATAATAATGATAAAATGTTAATGATAATGATAATAATAATGATGATAATAATAATAATTATGATTATGCTAATGATACTGATCAATAATAACAACAATGATAATGATGATGATTATACTAATGATAATAATAATAATAATAATAATAATAAGAATAAGAATAAGAATAGTAATAATGATAATAATGATACAATAACGGTAATCATGATTATCATCATCATCATGATAATAATAATGATAACAATAACAACAATAAAACAAAAAAAAATTATCAGTATTATTATTATTATTATTATTGTTGTTGTTGTTGTTGTTGTTATTGTTGATATAATCATCATTATCATCATCAATATCATTATCATTGATCATTCTTATCATCATTACTATCATTGTTCTTATTATCATAATTATTATCATAATTATGAATACTAATATTATCATTATTATTATAATAATCATATTAATGATTATTATCATTATCATTATAATCATTGTAATCGTTATTATCATATTAGTTGTTATCAGTATAAGCAATAAAATCATAATTGTCATTATTATCAGTATTACTGATATCATTAATATCGTTATAATTATTATCATCATAATTATTATTGTTAGCATTATTATCATAATTATAATTACCATTATCGTTATTTTTATCATTATCATTATTTTTATTGTTATCATTATTGTTATTAGCATCATCATTATTATATAAGGATAGGCCTCATCACCCAACCGTGTGCAGAAACCTTAACTCCCAAAATCTGTAATATAGACCTTACCAAGATACAGGCAATAATATCAGAAAAAAAACTGGAATGAATAACCCAATTGTTTTCTGGTTAACAAAAATGCATCCGGTTTAAACTGACCCCCGCCATTAGGATGTGACCAAGGCAGACGTGCTACCATGGCCAAGCGGGGAACTCTGTGCTTTGTTTTTGGGTGCAGCAAGAGAAGGAAATACGGCAAAGAATAAGCAATCGTTCGAAGAGATAGTGAAGGAATTGATGACGATGGATGGACGATGATATGAAATTTTCCAAGGTCTTTTCATGGGTCGGTTCCTTATTTTTTGATTTACTCCAGTGAGATGCTGCCTATTTACTGTTAGTACTATAGTGGAATAATGGAATTTGTAATATTTTTGGCGCTGTGTTATTTATTTTGAGGCAGCAAAAGATATTTTTCTACCGAGTTATCTGGACATAGATTATTTTACTTTAACATGTAGTCACCTATGTTAATTGCTCTCGATGAATACTGGAAGTAAAAGGTATGTTGAAGCTCTTTTCACCTTTGCAAATTATTTGTCTCTTTGAATACACTGATTGATGTTATGACGATCTTTCTATGATAGCCACAGGGCCCCGGGGCAAAGAACAGGGCCGGGCCCTCAGGGCCACATCCTTTTTAGGTGGGAAACGCCTTCTTCTAAAAGGAAACGCCCATTTTTCACTTAAACTTTATGTTAATATAAACTGTATGTTTCTCGAACTTACAATCAAGAACTTGCAATGATAAAATATGTTATTAATATCACATAACTTCAAAAATATCGCTAGTTTGGCAGAGGATTGAGGACATCTTATTTACGTTAACTGCTGAATCGCTGTTTACGTATAAATACACCCTACAAATTTGCTGAGTTAGTTGTTGCTGGGCTCAAATAAGCGACTACTGTAAATTTTTACGGGCCCCGGCTACCCCCCCCCCCCCGTCGGCGGTTCTGATGATAGCTGTCCGATGATCATATTAGGAGATGCAGATATTAGTACAGTTCTGGGAGTATTGTGTCTACCTGCACGATACTCAAAATTATAGAACTGGCCAGTTGACAGTATCTTTAAATAGGTTTTTCTAAATAGAATACAAGTTCAAGATAATACACACACACACACACACACACACACACATATATATATATATATATATATATATATATATATATATATATATATATATACATATATATACATATATATATACATATATATATATATATATATATATATATATATATATATATACATATATATATATACATACATATATATACATATATATATACATATATATATAATATATATATATATTATATATATGTATATGTATATATGTATAATATATGTATATACTATATATATATATATATGTATATGTATATGTATAAGTATATGTATATACATTTATATATATATATATATATATATATATATATATATATATATATATATAATATATATGTGTGTGTGTGTGTGTGTGTGTGTGTGTGTGTGTGTGTGTGTGTGTGTGTGTGTGTGTAAATATATATATATTATATATATATATATATATATATATATATATATATATATATATATATGTATGTATGTAGGTAGGTATGTATATGTTTTTTGTGGGATAAAGATCAAATATTTGTACTTAAAAGACATCCCACAATGAATTTAACCTGTTTACGCCAGATTGAAGATTGCAAAAAAAAATATATAAATTTTTTGTAAGTTTCCACGCCAATAAAGCGGGCTTGAGGCTCAAAACCACACGGAATGATGTATGACCACACCATGTTTTTTTTACTGACCCAATCAATACAACAGCTCGTTTGTCTCTGAAAACTACGTGTATTTAGTTTTGCTACACCTTTTTTCCAAGAAAGATACATGACCCTGCCTTTTATCTAAAATAGTTTCTGAAATACACGGTCCTTTGCAGCTATTTGTTCTGGGTATATACAGTATGGCCGCCAAAATTTCAATCTGACTGCACTTTCGAAACAAAAGCTCGATCCAGTCTTTTATTATTATTATTATTATTATTATTATTATTATTATTATTATTATTATTTAGATCAGTGGATACAGACATGAGCCACGCGTATCCGAAATATCAAAGCTCAGCCAAACCAGGTTTCGGACACGTTCCCAATGGAGTTTTACCATTGGCATTCACTCTTGTCTCGAACTGACACGAATGAGTTTTTCTCTTTTGATTTCTGTATTTTTTTACTTTATGATTTCATATACTTACGTCGTTCTCTTTACATCTACAAAGTCAGTCCTCAAAGTAATTGTTGTTTCATTCTAAACAATCACCTTCCTTTTATTCGACTTTCAAATGCTTTTCATTTCATTTTCCAATGTAGACTATTTAATCAGATATTCATTTGATAGTGATCTTTTCTATCATTTCAGTTCTCTTTTGCATTTAATTGGTCACTTATCCAAATATAATGTGAATTTATGCAGGAATAGTAAAATCATGTCAACCGTAACTTTTATTCTGTTGCGACAGATTCTTTAGTTTTCTGGTCTGGGGATGGGATTTTGTCTTGTATACATAATACATACACACCACACACACACACACACACACACACACACACACACACACACACACACACATATATATATATATATATATATATATATATATTATATATATATATATGTGTGTGTGTGTGTGTGTGTGTGTGTGTGTGTGTGTGTGTGTGTGTGTATTCATTTGTGTATCGTGATAGTAAGTAGCCTAAGACCTGGCCTGGTTAATGGTTAATATTTAAAAAAAATGACTGTGCCAGACATCAAAGATCACATAGCACTATGGCAACGTATTGTGATGAAAGGGGCTTAAAAGAGTTCTTTATTAAAACAAAATGTTTGAAGTTTCAGTGGTCATATGGCAATGTAAGACGGTATGGTATGGTAGTGAAAAGTATAGAAAGAAGGGTTATAATGGAGTAGGATAGGTATTAATAAGAAAGGGTTAAGGATCCAGGGTGATTAGAGAAAGTGAAGGATATTTATGCGTCTGAGGATATGCTGTCAAAGTAAAAGGTTAGGGATATTGTGAGAGGATGTCCAATAGATTCGGGCTAAGTGAGGGAACGTAGAGCTGCAAGTTGGTGCGAAACGGAGACTGGATAGTAGGGTATGTGGGACTGAGAGAGGAACATTGCATGAGG